CCCCAAAACCCCAAAACCCCACTAGACAGATATTTAAGATGTAAAGTTATTAGGATTAATTTACTTCATTTTCTTTGAGTCAAAAATAGCTTTGTATATAAACTCTAAGTTGCAGCACTAGCAGGCCTATTATCGTTGCCTAGATTATTCTAACTACTGCTCTGATTAAGAACTCTCTAGTCTTTATAGTTTGAAGGTTACTGGATAGATCCTTTTTGAATGTTTGAAAGATCTACATTAAGAGTTGAGCTCAGTTTATTACTATCATTAGTAGGGTTTACATGGCATTATAACTGTGTGCCAGCAGCTTATCTCTTTGAACTTATCAGCTTGGTTCCCTGATTATTTTGATTCTCTTTTGATCTCATTCTAGTGGTATTATTTAACGAGTAACTTGAAGCGTTCCCAGAACTATTTGCTCTTGATTTGTGATGAGGAATATTTTCTAAGTTTTAATTCAATGGCAACACTTGCTAGATATGATTATTTTCCCCAATATCGGTATCTTAGATTTGGTTGCAATAATTATGAGTAGTATTACCAAAGGATTCATCGTTGCCTATTAGCAGATGACTGTCATACTCATCTTTGACAGCATTATTTTGGTTAATTTTGCCAGCAGCACTAAGTATGCTGTAAGAAGACTGCTATGTAGTTTAAGGCATTTGATTTTTACTCATTAGATTTTGCTGTCTTGAATTATTTTATTGCTATAAGTTATTAAATGCTGATTGATGTGGATTGATTTATACAACTACGCTTTATGTAGGCACTGCATACTTATTATAGTTTTACTGCTGTGCTTGTTTTTGACTATTTTATTATCTATCTAAACTTTTCTTGCTTTTTTAACTAGCAAGGCCTTTAAGTGATGTCAGATTTTGAGTACTTGACATGTTTGAAGAATTACTCTTTCTATGACCGCCAACCAACTCACTTGAACCTTAAAATTTAGAAATCGATGGATTATTGCTATTATTATTGGTCGATAAAAAGCTTTGTTTCTTTGCTCCTAAGTCTCTATTTTTCAAAGCATCAATCATGTTTATTTTAATCTGACTGCTGTTATTACTATTTGCTAGAGTCTTTACCTTTGAACTCTGGTTCAAGCTTTAAGCTATAAGAATTGTTTGCCTATCTGGACTTTTTCTTGAATTAGTGTTATTATTGTTATTGCTATTGCTGTTGTTATTTAGACTATTCTTCCTTACAAAACCTGATTAATTCATGCCTAAAGCCAAGTTTCCGCTGCTGCTGCCCTTTTTTAAAAATGTCTGACTGTTTTAGTTATTATGAGAGTTTATTACGATTGATGCTCTGCTCGTAGTATATTATATACTTGGTCTTTCAAGTGATCTGGATAGATTATTTTGATGAGTAACGCATTCATTGTTATTAGAGTTACTCCTCTCCCTAGTCTTAAATTCTTCCAACTATGTTCCAATTTTCTTTAATTAAGTCTAATAATCCCTCTCCATGTTATCATATTTTTTGAGTCTATCGTTCAGCTAAGTCATCTCTTGATCTCTTAATTCGAGTAACTCAATGTATCTTTTCTTATCTAGTTTTAGTTCCTGCACATATAACTTATACTCTTGCCTTAATTTGGCTCTTTCTCGATCTTTATCCTCTATCTTTTACTAAAGTGCCTCCATAGCTATTTTCATTTATTGCTCTACTCTAATGTGATTTCTTATGTCATTTTCCAATTTCTGGATTATTTCCTCATATGCTTTTGGGGGTTCCTTCTAACCATTTGTCGTGGAGGTATAATTACTATTATTGGTAAGCTATGAATTGTCTAATTAATTAGAGGTATCAGTGTTAATTCTGTTGTTACCAGAAGTTCTCTTTTTATTGTTTGAGTAGTTATTGGCGGACATTGATGTTTCCATTTTAAGATTCAGTAGGATCTCGATCGATGTTTTGATATACTCTATTAAAGATAATGTATCAACTTCTAGTAGCTTTTACTACTCCCTCTCTAATTAGTCATCATTTAAGTTAACTATCTCTTCATTTGATCTAACCTTCACGTCTAGGTAAAGTTCAATTAATGAGTTATGCACTTCCATCAGAGCTTAATTATTCTCAAACTTATTGATCTTCTATGCTTTTTTAGGATTCATTTTCATTGGTAACTTAAACGCATTCATTGGGTTTTAGGCTTCAAACGTACATATTGCTCGTTCAGTATTCTATATATTCGAACTCTCAAGCATTTCATTCTGGGAGCCCTAAGTCGCTTCGACGTTTTGATTTGAAGCTTGAAGCAAAATCTAGTCTAATTAGTGCGCAGATGTGTTTGACTATGAAATTTTAGTATGAGATTTACTAGCCATTTAGTTGTTAAAAATATTAATTTAAATTCAATAATTTAACTGATCATAAAATTAATCATTGCACCAACTTAATTAATCATATTTCCAAATTCAACTGTTTTATTCAATTTTCTAATCATCTTTACTTAGTTATTAAGACTTTCCTAGTAAAATCGCTAAAGTTAAAAGCAATCCAAGATACCTATTCGCTGTAAAAAGATTCCAGCATTTTTTGGGATCATTAATATCAAGGGTTTTCATTTACCAGGCGTAATGAGCCATCACTGTAGAAAGGCCTAAGAAGTATGGCATTCCAAATCCAGCATTTATTCCTCCTATTAGAAAACATAAACTTGATAAGCCACTCAATACAGATAGTATTTGATGAGGATTGTTTTCAAAAGTTATTGCAGCACTTTTTAATCCAAGTTTTTTGTCGAATTCTCTATCCTGAAAAGCGTATATAGTATCATAAATGATAGTCCATAGGATTCCACCCAAATAAAAGGGCAAGCAAACTGAAAGGTTTGCTGCAAGTTGTGAAGCTACTGCAGCATATCCAATAAAAACTCCAGAATTGAATGCGACTCCTAAAACTAGTTATGGCACAGGGAAAAATCTTTTGAATGTAGGGTACATAAAGACGACAGGAGTCACCATCAACCCATATTTTACACATTCCCAAGGCAATGAAAATAACACTCCAAAATTAATTGCCATTAACCCAGAAAAAAATGCAGCTACTTAATTTGGAGTTAATTCGCCTGTAGTGAGTGGTCTTGCTTTTGTTCTTTCAACATGCTTATCAATATCTCTGTCTAAGTAATCATTAATAATGCATCCAGCAGATCTAGTAGCTAAAGCACCAAAGGTGAACAAACTAATCATCTTAATTGAAGGAATTAGTGTAGGAGATCCAAGAGCAAGACCCCAATAGCAGGGTAAAAGAAGCAATTAAGTTCCAATTTATCTATTAAATCTAGCTAATCTCAAATATGGATCGATTTTATCATAAAGGGTTTATACTTTCTTTTCGTTTTACTCATCATTACTTTGATTTTGTGATGAAAACGAATGTATTTATAACTATTTTGGTTATGAAGACCTAAATAGAGAAATTTAAGTTTGATGTTTGTTTGAGTAGTGCTGTATTGGTTTTGAAGAGAGTAGCAATTATTTGATAAAGGGAGATTTTTGCATAAACATTTTATAAGTTTAATAATTCTAAACACATTAATTGGCTCCTTTAATAATTTAATTTCAATCACTGAAACTTAAGACTGAAGGACTTGCTAAATTTCTTCATGAAAGGTATATATGACAATAGACCATCATCATAAATGTTTGGCTATTCATCCCTCTTGAAATAAAACATGTATTCCCTATTGATCATATCCTTAACAGTTTCTTCGTTAATCTCATTTCCATCTAGAGTGTTCATTTTTAGATAGTTGAAAAATGTCAGCCTCTCTTTTCTGCAAACTTGATGTATGAGCTCTTTATTAGATAACTATTGGAATTCAGGATTAGTTGATTATGTTTTGAGACACTCATGAAATCTCTTTCCAATAATACTGTAAATTAAGTCTTGAGACACTTCTCTATCGTCTAATGTGATTTGATGTTAGTATAGACACTTTTTTAGTTTTTCTTGATCAGATGAGACTGACTTGACAAACTTGATCTCTTTACTTTAATCGATTTCTTTAATCTCTTTCATCTAATTAAGTTTATCAAGTCTTCTTTGAGATTCTTATTATTCCAGGAACAGAATATTTTTATCATCTTAAGTGAGATTATTTTAATCAACTAGCAAAGGATTGAATCTAAAGCCAGGTACATCTGAGCCATTCAGCACAAAGAATGAAGAATTGATATTTCCCATTAAAAGAACTATTACTTTAATTAATTCTAATCACAAATTTATAATTTCACAATCAAAATCTCAAATTCTCTGCCACTCCTTTCATTCAAGAGTGAATTCCTTATCCACATACTTATCCTCAACTAGTAGCTCCTTGTATTTCTGTGTGATATGATATCTCAGGGTCCATGTGTAGAGCAAAGAGTGAAGCATTCCTATTGCTCCACCTAAAAGAAGATATTCAGGCCTTCTACTCAAGACAATAAAAGTAGTCAAACTTCCTGCTAAAAACCCTATTGGCATATTTTATCTGTAAATCATTCTAAAATCATCAGTACCTAAATCTATGTATTAAATTAGTGAGTGCTAGGTAATGAAGAATTGAATACATTTTTCAAAGGTTTATTTTAGAATGAAAGGGATGAATGAGACCATCATAGCTGAGTAGAACAATCTTAGTCTTGGGCGCATTTAAACAAAGCAATTGCTTGATTTCCAAAGTTGATTTTCAATGTAGTTTATACAGCGTATTGAATTTTGCGAAACCTATTGATCGTTTAATAAGTAAAATGAAGAAGAGTTACTAACTGAGTAGTTTCTGAATAGATAAAGGCCTGAAAAAACAAAAAGTCCTCGATAAAACGTTCGTCCAACTTCTTAAGAGGAGTATGTGTCAAAGTCTAATTCTCTCATTAAATTAATTACTTATTTCAATTATATAAAAAAATTAACATTCTTATCTTGAATTAATAAGCATGTTGGGGTTTTGGGGTTTTGGGGTTTTGGGG